CGTAGCCGGGGATCCGGGTCGCTAGGTCCTGCGATGTGACCCAAGCTAGTCGCCAGCCACCACCGGACTCGTCCCAAGGCGCGGGCCCGGGTGGACCCGGGCGGGGACGGGTCTGCAGAGACACCGGGGCTCGCGGGCCGGCGCCGGCTCCGGGAAGGCTGCGTGCGCAGAACTGACACTGACAACACCGCCAGTGCCCCGCCCCCACCCACCCTTAAAGGAGCCGCGCCCGCACCGGGCGGGGCCTAGCCAGCCAGGCGCTCAGAGCTAGAGGATGGGCAGGGAGTTGAACTGCACACGCAGAGGGTTCCGGGATGAAAATAGGCGGAGTCTTAAACCGCCCCGCCCTGCCCTGAAATCCGGGCGCACCCCTTCAGAACCAGGCTAGGGAACTTCACATATCTGCGGTACTGCCTGTTTTCCCTTAAGCTTCTTAGATTTCTACAGGTTGGACGCCTGTGGGGTTAAGAATGAGTTGGTCCCTGTGGAAATTACCACCCACTTCCAATACCTGGCTCAGCAGCTTCTGGTCTTATTCTTTGGCTGAAGCTAGGCCCTGGGTAAGCAGGGGTTAGGTATCCCTCCCAGATAGAGGTGCCTGGCGAAAATCCCAAAGCCAATACCAACTTCGAGAAAAATGAACCTGAATCTGGTAAAGGTTGAGAACAGAACATTACCATCACCCTCCTTCCCCTTGGAGCTAGAATTCAGGAACCCCCCTATTAACCTCCTGCTTGCGTGGGTTTGTTCCCGAGATATTTCCCAAGCTCAGGGCTGTTTTTAAAAATAATACATTTCCATAGTAACAGCTCCTGCCTGTCGAGCACGTGTAGAGGGGATGGGAAGAGAAGGGAGCTGGCATTGTAGCACTGGACTATCTATAGATTTGGTCAAAAGACTCTCGTCCAAATACGTGGCATCTCGTGTAGTGCCAGCTGACTGTAGTCCTAGCTACTCAGGAGGCTGAAGCAGGATGATATATTAGCCGAGGAGTTTGAAACCAACCTGGGTGAGACCTTGTTATAGCAAGCCCCACCCTACAAACCAAATATGCCAACTCCAAAGAAATGCTGTTCTGGGACACTGCGCAGTTTAGTCTCAGAATATACCCTTTTCTCTGGATTCCTGAGAGACTGGAGCTCATCTTGCTTCTTGGGGACAAGGGAAGGTGTCTATAAAAAGAGTCAGAGACTGGGCAGTTGTGTTGCATCCCTTTAATCCCAGCACTTGGGAGGCAGCGGCAGGTGGATCTCTGAGAGTTCAAGGCCAGCCTCGTAGACAGAGCTAGCTCCAGGATAGCCATGTGATGGGGGAAGTCCTTCCGTGTATGTGTTTCTCTTATTGGTTGATGAATAAAACACTGTTTGGCCAATAGAAACAGGAAAATGGGTGGGGCTAGGAGACAAGGAGAATTGTGGGAGAGGCCGGAAGAGAAGCACCAAAAACAGTCGCCTAGTAGACCATAAAGGACTTACAGGTGTGGGCATCCTTCAGTAAGCCAAGACCATATAGAAATACATAGATTAGTAATTGTGGGTTAATAATTAAGAGAGAGCTAGCTGGTGCGGATATCGATCCCGCCAACATGGTGATTGGTCCTAAGACCCGCCGGACGTTCTGCAAGAAATGTGGCAAGCACCAGCCCCATGGAGTGACACAGTACAGAAGGGCAAGGACTCTGTGTGTGCCCAGGGAAAGCGGCGCTGTGACAGGAAACAGAGTGGCTATGGTGGGCAGACGAAGCCTGTCTTCTGAAAAAAGGCTAAAACTACAAAGAAGATTGTGCAGAGGCTTGACTGTGTGGAGCCCAACTGCAGATCTAAGAGGATGCTGGCCAGGAAGAGATGCTGGGAGGTGATAAGAGGAGAAAGGGCCAAGTGATCCAGTTCTAAGCTGATCTTGTTATGAAGACAATAAAATCATGATAAAACAAACCGAGAGAGAGAGAGAGAGAGAGAGAGAGAGAGAGAGAGAGAGAGAGAGAGAGAGAGAGAGAGAGAGCTAGCCAATAAGAAGCCCTAGCCATTGGCCAACAGTTAATAATATAGTGTCTGTGTGTTTATTTGGGGCTGAGAAGGGCAGCGGGACCTGACAGAACATGAACCTCTAGCAACAGCCATGACTACACAGAGAAACCCTGTCTTGAAAAACAAAAACAAACAGACTCAGAGGAACTCTATTCCCCAAGAGCCCATCTTCATGACATATGGTGAGGTCCCTTCTACACTCAAGATAGGATGAGAAGATGTTAAATATCTTTCAAACACATTTGTCTAAGGAACGAGCCTCTAAGAGTAAACAGTGTTTTACATGGTTGAGGGTTGTAGGGCAGGGAGGACACTGTCAGCAACAGGGTCTAATCCAGAAGAGAACAGGGTACGTAGCTGGAGGCATCCCTGATTTCACTGTAAGGAATGATGGGCAGAGGTGAGATGATGAGGCAGCTTTGTTGTGAGCCTGACCTACACCGTGAACCCAAAACTAATGGTGACCCCTAGAGTTCCAGTCTTTAAGAGCAGAAGACATGGAATCAATGGAGCACAGAACTCCGGGCCATACATAACCTGGGAGAAAGGAATCACCCGGAAGAAGAGTCATATTCAGGGATGCAAGCAACATGAGAAACTGTTGAAATGCAAGGTCTTTCTCCATGAAGAACTCTTCTTTGGGAATATTTGGAGCTCCCAAGAACTCTGTTCTCTAACAATCTAGCAATGAGTAGGGACTCACCTGTAAGCCCAACACCTTGGAGGCTGAGGAAGTATAGTGAATTCAAGGCCAGACTGGGATGTACAGGGAAGTTGGGCATGGTGGCCTATGCCTTTAGTCCCCAAACTGGAGGGGGTGGGGGCAGAGGCAGGCTGACCTCTATTACTTGGAGGTCAGCCTGGTCTATACAATAAGTTCTAGATCAGTTAAAACTGTGCATTAACACCTTCCTTGTCTCAAAAAAAAAAAAGTTCTCAGCGGCTGGAGACATGTCTCAGAGGTTAAGGGCACTGGTTGCACTTCCAGAGGTCCTGAGTTCAATTCCCAGCACTCACATGATGGCTCACAATCATCTATATTGAGACCTGGTGCCCCCTTCTGGCATGCAGGTATACATACTGCCAGATCCTGCTTCAAAAGTGTCTTGCATGGTCTTCCTGGTTTCCATATCTCCCTTCCACCTATTACTTAGCCTTTGAGTGCTTCTTTCATTTCTCTTTATGGTTTAGCTGGGTGATTATATGAGCACTTTGTTTTACTCATCAGGAAACGCAGGATAGAAATGATGTCATACTCATCTCTATTCCCTCATACTCAAAGAATGTATCTTTTTTTTTTTTTTTTTTTTGGTTTTTTCGAGACAGGGTTTCTCTGTGGCTTTGGAGGCTGTCCTGGAACTCACTCTGTAGACCAGGCTGGCCTCGAACTCACAGAGATCCGCCTGCCTCTGCCTCCCAAGTGCTGGGATTAAAGGCGTGCGCCACCAACGCCCGGCAAAAGAATGTATTTTAATTATGCTGAAGTAGTCTTTGAAGGCAGCAACTGCATTTTTATCACTGTATTCCCTATAGCACCTAGGAGTTTCTTATGCCATAGAGATTTGCCAGTTGTCTTTTTTGTGTGTGTTTGTTTTTCAAGACAGGGTTTCTTTGTGTGTCTTTGGAACCTGTCCTGGAACTTGCTGTGTAGAGCAGGCTGTTCTCGAACTCACAGAGATCCGCCTGCCTCTGCCTCCCAAGTGCTGGGATTAAAGGTGTGTGCCACCACCACCTAGCACCAGCTGTCATTTTTGTTGCTGTGTTATTTTGTCTCACTACGTAGTCCCGGCTGGCTTGGAACTCCCTATGTTGATCAGGCTGCCCTTAAACTCAGTGGTCCTCCTGCCTCTGCATCTTGAGTGCTGGAGTTAAAAGGGTACAACCACCACGCCCCCACCTCAGTAATCAAGGAACTAGAAGTCTAGCTGAGTTGGTAAAGTGCTAGCTTAGCATGCACAAAGCCTTGAGCTTGAACCTCAGTACCACATGAACTAGGCATGGTGGCACACACTGTGACTCCGCCCTTGGAAGGCGGAAGCAAGGTGGAAAGATCAGAAAGTCAAGGCCGGGCTGGCAATATGGACTACTTAGTACATTCAAGCCCAGACTGGATATGTAAGACCCTGTCTTAAAATGTCTTAACAGGGCAGGGCGTTGGTGGTGCATGCCTTTAATTCCAGCACTCGGGAGGCAGAGGCAGGCGGATCTCTGTGAGTTCGAGGCCAACCTGGTCTACAAGAGCTAGTTCCAGGACAGCCTCCAAAGCAATACAGAGAAACCCTGTCTCGAAAAATAAAAAAAAATTTTTAAAAATGTCTTCACAGATAATAAATAGTCCAGTAGTGTTTGGAGTACATCTTAGTGGTAGATCTGGCCTAACATGCATAGACTGTGGGTTCCTCCCCCAGCACTGTATAAAGGGGGAACAAAGGTGCTATCAAGGCAATCTACCATAAAAGGTACCTCAGTGGTTGAGGTTCAGATAGCTTCAGAGACTAGTGTCACTTGGACAGGGCATGGTGGCTCACACCTATAATCTCAGCATGCACACGGGAGGTAGTGGCAGGAGATTCTGAGTTCAAGACCAATCTAGGCTACGTATCAAGACCCAGTCTCAGCCGGGTGTTGGTGGCCCATGCCTTTAATCCCAGCACTCTGGAGGCAGAGGCAGGCAGATCTCTGTGAGTTCGAGGCCAGCCTGGTCTACCGAGCGAGTTCCAGGACAGCCTCCAAAACAATACAGAGGAACCCTGTCTTGAAAAAAAACAAAACAACAACAACAAAAAGACCCAGTCTCAAAACAAACAAAAATTAGAGAAGACAAGATATCTTACCACAAAGGGAACACTAAGACCAAATATCATGAGCAGCTTAAAACTAAGTTGATGATACCTCTCATTTTAGATTTCAGGTTGACCTTTGTTAGTATTCAATTTGTCTGAGCTCTTTAAAGAGGAAGGGGTATCACTTGAATCCATACTTTCTTTCCTTTATTTGTAGTAATACTGGGAATTTCTGCCCTGTTCAGAAATCTGTTTCAGCGTCTTTCCCAATCTCTAGAATTCCTATTGCCAGTCAAGTTTAAGAACCAGAACTCACCGGGCGGTGGTGGCGCATGCCTTTAATCCCAGCAATCGGGAGGCAGAGGCAAACAAAACATAAAACAAAACCAGAACTCTAACTTGGATGTGATGCCGTGTATAATTCAGAAGAGAGAGACAGAAGAATTGCCACAAGTTCAAGGTCAAACTGCTCTACATAGTGAGTTCTAGACCAGTTGATTGGACCTTAAGAATTTCTGTATTATTTCCAAATCCATGTCGGCCCAGTTGATGAGTTTTGCTAGCTAGAATGAAAGGAAAAAGGCAGGAAGAAAAGGCCAGGGCCACTGGCAGGCTTTGCAAGTTTCAGAGCCCCAGACTTTACAGAGCTCCTGTGGTCTTTTCACACACGGTGAAACATTTCTGAGCTATGCTTTGTCAGGGGATTGATTTAATAGTAGGTTGGCCTTGCTTACTGGGAGGCACTCGGCTGCTTGGTAGATGTGTGCTGTCTGCTCAGCACAGGGACAGTTGCAACTCAGCAGATCTGTGAGTCCCCGTGATGACTGATGAGTGACTCTTCAGGATACGTACACATGGTTAGACTATTACCAGGAGAGACACAAATTTCAAGTGAGCCATGTATTTGTTTCTTTCTCTGTTAATCAAGGGAGCACTATCATCATGGGAGCAAAATTATCCAGATTATATGACAGGTATTCAAGTAACCATTTCTGATGTAACATGGACACGTAGCTGATGAATCCCTAGTGCCTTGTCTTTAGATAAGTCCTCTCACCCTCTTAGGTGGATGGTGGGTAAAACAGTGACTTCTGGACACAAAGAGACTTAAGGCTTAAGCCAGGTTGGAAAAAGATTCATTAGGAATGGCCTCCAAATAAAAATAATTAAAAAAAAAAAAAGATACAGAATGTCCCTCACACCTCCAGGGAGTCTCAGCCCTGATCAACGAGATAGCTGAGTGCTCCCTCCTCTGGGGATCTGCTCCGCCTTCAGACCTGCTCCTTGTATATCACTCTCCCTGTTTGAAAGATCCTTACCCTTTCACTACAGAAATATTATAATACCCCCCAGGCCCTCTCACTTCCGTGCACGCCTATCGCTCTTTATATCTTTTCTAGACTCACTCGCCATGCTCGATGATGCCTTGAACACAGATATCTTTGTGTCCTAGCCCTCAGGGGACACCAGCGGAAAGAGAAACATTTGCCTCCCTGGTGTTTGCTTGAATGTACACACACACACACACACACACACACACACAAACTTTAGTATACTGTGGAGTAAATTTGTGTGTGGTATGTATAAGAGAGACACACATATATTGGGCTTTTGTGTTACTAAGAGCTATTTTCAAGTAGAAGGGACATTTCATACCTGGTTTTGAGGGAAAAGAAAGGTTATCCTTGACCTAAAAATGTCAACCTCACCCTGACTCTAGGAGCATGCTACATTTAAAAGGAATGGACAAAATACCATTCTATTGTCAACTCAAAATGCCATGCTATTGTCACCAAGTCTCTGTGGTGGAGACCTCTATGAGGAATAGAAAACATTTGCCACCTAAAAGATCATTGTTTCAGTGAACTGCTATTTGCAGAAGAGCAGGTGTCCAAAGGCAAGCGACTTGGAGGAAGAAACCTGACTGGGACCCACAGGCTCACCGGAGGCGTGTGCTTAAACTCTCCTGCTCCTTAGCTCTTTCCAGTATCTCAGTTTGTCTCTGTGTTTTGAGAGGTTGGCACGGTGCGGTAATCCAACACCAAGTTAAAGTCCCTGTTTCGATCCAATACCCGAACGCACGAACAGCTCCGTCAGTGGCGAAATGCAACCGTGGGTTGCCCAGCAACAAACTGCTATAGTGGAGGCAGAAGGTGGGTGGGTTGTTGAGGGGAAAGTACCTGGATCGTGAACAAGAAAAAAAAATGGGAGGGACTTTTCGAGTGTCTGAGCTTACGAAATTACAAAATTCCTTCAAATTGTGGCTGCGTTTCTGGAAGCAGTGTTTACCTTTGGCAACAGTTTTCCTGCAAAGAGCAGGTGTGGTTCCACACTCTCTTCCCTCCTGACCAAAGGCTTTCAGTAGCCTTCTTTTCAGCCCCGGGGTATTCCAGATTAAGCTCAGGCTGCTAGCCCTTTAAGCCCGACCTGAGTGGGGGACGACGTGGAACCACAGAACTAGCTGTGTCAGCCACGTGGTACAAGGAAGCGTTCATGTTGGAACTGGGCAAAGCGTATTTCCGCTTTAAGCTATACAATATGATGTTCCGAGAGTATCCACTTATCTTTTCTTCGGTTGAGTTTCCAAAACTCTAATGATGCCGCTCCTGCCGAACAAAAGTTTAGTTTAAAAATAACACCACTCGTCCGGCTCTGGTGCCCGCTTTAAAAATGGTGCCTCGGTCTTCAGCAGCGGTAGTTCTTTTGCAATTAAGATCCGGGCGGAAACAATGGGTAGGTGCAGCCGAGCAGAGCCGAGGTTGCTTCACAGAGCCTCTTGCAGGTCAGGAGGGAGGGTCAGGTCATAGTTGGGTTTTGTTCCTGCGGGCGCGGAATACTCTTGCGTGTAGGAAGCGGCACTGCCGACTGCCGAGGCCTCTGGGATTGTGCCGGGTTGCCAGTTAGCTGACTAGGCGGCGGAGCGGCGGCCCCCGGCGGGTCACCATGTGGGCCTTCCCGGAGTTGCCGCTGCCGCTGCTAGTGAATTTGATCGGCTCGCTGCTGGGATTTGTGGCTACTGTCACCCTCATCCCTGCCTTCCGTAGCCACTTTATCGCCGCGCGCCTCTGTGGCCAGGACCTTAACAAACTCAGCCGGCAGCAGATGTGAGTCACACATGAATGTGCTGGGGTAGGGTGCCAGGTTGTACAGGACAGGGGCAAGGACTGAGGTGCTTGGCTTTGCGCGGAAGACAGCTAACCTAAGCAACCCAGAACTCGGGGTGGGGGTGGGGGTTGATAGAATTGTCTGTCCTGGGAAGGACGAAATGCGAGCTTTGGGTGTCGGGACTTCTAGCAGTAGTATCATCTTCCCTAAGCACACTCTCCCTACTCCCCAACAAACAAAACAAAATCCTGGGAAGAAAGTCACTTTGGGTTATTGTAATCCCATACAATAGTGAGTGACCACGCCCTTTTCTTCTTCCTCCTCCACTCCTTGCTGCTGGGCCTCAGCCCAGAGTCCCAGGGAGTGATCAGCGGTGCTGTTTTCCTTATCATCCTCTTCTGCTTCATCCCTTTCCCCTTCCTGAACTGCTTTGTGAAGGAGCAGTGTAAGGCATTCCCCCACCATGAAGTAAGTGCATTCATGGGAACGGTTGGCTGGGGCCGGGGACTTGCTTGAGTTGGGGTTATTTGGATTGGGCAGAGGTTACTTGTGGGCCCAACTGTACAGACAGGAATACTTGGATTGGTGATATAGCTCAGTGATAGCCTCCTTAGTGTGCCCAAAGCCACGGGTTCAATCCTCAACTTCAAAATGAAAAGATGGGAAAAGAAAAAAAAAAAAAAAAAAAAGGAAAAGACAGGAGGCAGGAATTCTTTTCTTTTTTTCTTTTTTTGGTTTTTCGAGACAGGGTTTCTCTGTGGCTTTGGAGGCTGTCCTGGAACTAGCTCTTGTAGACCAGGCTGGCCTCGAACTCACAGAGAGATCTGGAGGCAGGAATTCTTGAAAGGCAGAATAGTAAGTAGGCTTGAGTCATGACTGTCCTGAGCCTTCCCCAGTTTGTGGCCCTGATAGGCGCCCTCCTTGCCATCTGCTGCATGATCTTCCTGGGCTTCGCTGACGATGTGCTCAATCTGCGCTGGCGCCATAAGCTGCTGCTGCCCACCGCTGCCTCACTACCTCTCCTCATGGTCTACTTCACCAATTTCGGCAATACAACCATTGTGGTACCCAAGCCCTTCCGCTGGATTCTTGGCCTGCATTTGGACTTGGGTGAGTAGTCCTATCACTCTTTCCCCTGTGGCACCCACTTCAGAGTACCCTTCCCTCGAGATCCCACTAAAACACCCTTCCTGGTGGTCCATATTCTCCACCAAGTACTCCCTTTCTGTATCAGCCCAGATTACTCTTTTTCCTTCCTTCATTCTTTCCTATCTTTTTTTTCCTTCCTGTATCAAGGAATTGAACCTAAGACCTCATGCTTGCTAGACAAGCACTTTGCGCTACACCAAAGCCTTTCAAAACAGGAGGACTGGGGATTGTTCAGTGGTCAAGAGCACTCACTTGTCTCCCGAAGGTCCTGAGTTCAATTCCCAGCACCCACATGATAACTCACAACTGTCTGATGCCTTCTTCTGGTGTGCAGATGTACATGCAAAGTAGCATTATACATAAAATAAGCCTCTTAAAAAATTCAAAGCTAGCCGGGCGTTGGTGGCGCACGCCTTTAATCCCAGCACTCGGGAGGCAGAGGCAGGCGAATCTCTGTGAGTTCGAGACCAGCCTGGACTACCAAGCGAGTTCCAGGACAGCCTCCAAAGCCACAGAGAAACCCTGTCTCGAAAAACCAAAAAAAAAAAAAAAAATTCAAAGCTAGGTATGGTGACGCATACCTTTAGTCCCAGCTCTAGGGAGGCAAAGGCAGGCACATCTCAGTTAGTACAAGGCCAGCCTGGTCTACAGAGTGAGTTCACAGAAAAACCCTGTCTTGAAAACAAAACAAAAAATTTCAAAACAGTCACACACTAAATTGCCTTGAACTTTCTTAGCCCAGACAGGTAATCCTCTTATCCCAGCCTTCCAAGTAGTTGGAATTATAGACCTGTGCTACTAGGCCTCGGCTATTCAGATCCTTTCATTCATCCTGTGCTCTGTTCTCAAAAAAGGTGCAAATCCTACTTCCCTGGGTAGTACTATCTGATCCTGTTTCCCCAGGAATCCTGTACTACGTCTACATGGGACTACTTGCAGTGTTCTGTACCAATGCCATCAATATCCTAGCAGGAATTAATGGCCTAGAGGCTGGTCAGTCACTAGTCATCTCTGCTTCTATCATTGTCTTCAACCTGGTGGAGCTGGAAGGTAGGTGGGATTGGAAATAGGGAGAAACAGATGCCTGAGTGTTGAGGGGATTGCCTGGTGTAGATTTAGAGAATTCCTCGGGGGGTGGGGACAACACAAAAGCAATTTTAGAATGGAAGCTATTTACTTTGCAAACAGCTATAAGGAGTTAAGCATGAGAAAGAAAAACAGCAATGCTGTCATTTATAGCTTGATTGTCATGAATAGCTAGACCAAGGATTTCTATTGGACATACAGTTTCACCCAACCCCAGCATCAGAAAGGGTCACCCTCTGACCATAGTGGGAAAAGACAAAAAAACAAAAACAAAAAAACAGAGACCCTCCCTTCTAATCATGTCTGAGGACAGACAAACCTAGAACACTGAGAAATATGTAAAAGACCAGGATTCCCTCTCAGTTAACATGAGAGGATACTTTTTCCCATTAACAATTCAATTCTTACTTCTTTTTGTTTTGTTATTTTGAGACACTCTTGCTATGTAATTCTGGCTGACCTCAAACTCATGATCATCTTTGTCTTCCCAGCACCATGATTATAGGCATGCTCACTATACCTGACACCTGACTTCCTCTTGCTATATATATATATATATATATCAGTCATGCCTTCTGAGAGCTCCCAGTTCAGGGCACATCTCTACTTCCTTTCTTCCTCTTCCAAATTACCCAAAACAAATCCTAAAGCCCTTCAGCACCCCTTGAGAGAGATGGTTTATGGTTCCCTGTGGTATTTGGTTTCAAACCCAAGTTTGACTATTAGCTATTTCTGGTTGTCTTTAGTTAATGAACATCAACAAGTGCTTGTTAAAACTAAGCACTTTGTTTTGAGATAGGACTGTACCATGTGGCCCTGGATCTCACAGAGATGCAAATGCTGAGATTAAAGGCATGTGCACCTTCCCTGCCCCCAGCTAAAGCTAAGCACTTTTAAAGCATTTTCTTGTTTAAATTAAATGATGGCTTTGTGTAACGGGCATTATCCAGTTTGAGAAAATGGAAGCTTAGAGAAGATTCAGTGTGTCATATTCAAATCACACAGCTAGGAAGTAAAACTGGTATTCAGACCTCAGCTGGAATTTCTAAGCCACGTTTAAGACAAGTCACTAGTTTTTGAAGGCCCAATAAAGTGCTAGAGTATTGGGAACTGCCCAGGTGACATGAAAGAGGAAGTTGGAGCTGGGCATGGTGGCAAATACCTGTAAACCCAGCACACGGGAGGTGGAGGCCAGACTTGGCTACATAGGAAGTTGGAGATCAGTGTGGGCAGGGTAGGGTAGAGCTGGTTTTGAAAGTGACTTGGGTGAGGTGTTCCTGATGACTAGGAACATAAATTAGACACAGACGACACTAAGATACACAGGGGATGTGGGTGCTAACTTCTTTCTCTTTACTCTGCTCCAAAGGTGATTATCGGGATGATCATGTCTTTTCCCTCTACTTCATGATACCATTTTTTTTTACCACCTTGGGATTGCTATACCATAACTGGTAAGTAGGCCTATGGATAAGAGAAAGTGACTGACATATGTGGGAGAGATGGTCTGGACATAACCCAGCTTCTATGGAGAGGCTAAAGTTGTACATACCTTTGTTGGGTATTCTCTGGGTCTTCCATTGGTAGTGGTTTGCCATTCCTGTTGTTTTGTGTGTGAGCATGAACATTCATGTATTTATGGCACAGGGGGTTGAATCTGGGTCTTCAAAATGCTAGGCAAACACTCTACCACTTAGCTATATCCCTGGCCCTCGTTTTTCTTTTGAGATGGGTGGGGGTAGGGGTCTCACTTAAGTTACTCAAGTTGGCATTGAAGTTACTGTGTTGTCAAGGCTGGACTCAACTTATAATCCTCCTGCCTTCAATTGCTATCACAGCTGGGAATACAGACATGTGCTATTAGGTACCCCCCTCACTCCCCTCACACACACCATAGTGCTGGGAATCAAATTCATGACTTTGTACATGCTAGGTGACTGCTTTATCACTGAGCCATACAGCCAGCCTGGTAGTTACTGTTTAATTGCTGTCTACCGTGCAGTAGCTGGGAATAAATGCCATGGAACCCATGAATTTAGGGCCTTGGAGCCGACAGAGTTTCTGGAATAGCCTTTCCCTTAGAACTCAGGGTCAGGACTAGCCTGTTGGTGTGTCTGATGTGAAAGAAAGGGTCAGTAATGACTCTTGTCATTGGCTCAGATCCTCTCTCCCATGCAGGTACCCGTCACAGGTGTTTGTGGGAGATACCTTCTGTTATTTTGCTGGCATGACCTTTGCCGTGGTGGGAATCTTGGGACACTTCAGCAAGACCATGCTGCTTTTCTTTATCCCACAAGTGTTCAATTTCCTCTACTCACTGCCTCAACTCTTTCACATCATCCCCTGCCCGAGACACCGCATACCCAGGTAGGCGCTCTGGGGCTTGAAAGGGGCATTATAGCTTTTCACTTGGGATAGCTAAAGCCAGCCTGTCCATTTCCTATGCAAGAAGTGGAGGAAAAGAAGGGATAACTGTATGTGGGTGGTGCATTCTAATTTATGAGACACATTTACTTATATAACGTGTGATGCTTACAACAGTTTCCCTCACCCAGATGTAAGCAGCAGAGTCAGAAACACATCTCAGCGCTAAGTGTTGGTCCTCTTAGTAACTGCAGGGTGGAAGGTTCTGAGTAGTGATTCAATAACATGACATCATATTCCCTTTACAGACTCAATACGAAGACAGGCAAACTGGAGATGAGCTATTCCAAGTTCAAGACCAAGAGCCTCTCTTTCTTGGGCACCTTTATTTTAAAGGTAACAAGGTAACAAGGAGGTAAGGCCCCAGGCCACCATCCTTTACTTGAGAAAAGGGAAACCTAGGTCTTCTTAGACCCAAGGGGAATTTGGAAACATCAAGAAGATCCCCTGTGGAGGAAATGTGTGTAACTGAAGTTGTCTTCGCCTCTGGCCCCTCCAGGTAGCAGAGCGCCTCCGGCTAGTGACAGTTCATCAAGGGGAGAGTGAGGATGGTGCCTTCACTGAATGTAACAACATGACCCTCATCAACTTGCTACTTAAAGTCTTTGGGCCCATACATGAGAGAAATCTCACACTGCTCCTGCTGCTTTTGCAGGTAAAATTGAGGGTGGGGTAAATTATGTAAATGCGCATGTCTCAGTTTCACCTTGGTTCTTATTCCAGTCCATTTCTCGTAGGTCCTGAGCAGTGCTGTCACCTTCTCCATTCGATACCAGCTTGTCCGGCTCTTCTATGACGTCTGAGTTCCCTGAAGACTGCCCTTTACCACAGTCTCCATTGGACCTCACTCAGGACCAACCCGTCTGGTCCAAGACTGCCTTCTGGTCCAGGCCTCTCCGACTGTCCATTTTTCAGTTTTGTTTTCAGCTTCTCCAATCACCTGTGACTATTGGCCTGGACCTAATTATTAGACTTAGTCCATTAGTTGGACTTTGCCTATGGCTTTCTTCAGCTTGCTACCCTCTCCCTTTCTGTCCCATCTGCGGCCTCAGAAGGGGACGTAGCAGCTCTTTGTGCAAATATTCACAGCTCAACTTTCAGAGCCCTGAATTTGCCGGACCTTGAGAGAGGACCTGAGCTAGGGGCTAGAGTTAGGGCTCTATACTCCAAGGTAACCTCACATTTGACTTTAAATTAAGTGTTCTGATTAGGAAGAGCAGAGGCAGGGCCATGTGCTCAAAATGGTGACAATAAAGGATTGTCTTTTACTTGGCTCCTGTAGGTATATCCACTCCTCTCCCTCTTTTTTTTCTAGCCTTTGAGGTGCTTGAGGCTTGAACTCCTTGTACTTAAGTGCTCCATCACTGAATACATCTATCCCCAGCCTGATGGATTTATCTTTCATATGGGCATTTTAGAATCGATTGGAAGGGTTGGGGTGGGTACCTTTTCCAATAGGATACCTACCTCTGCCCCATCAGACCCTTTCCTGCAAGAAGTGGTAGAACTGAAACCAGACAGAACATGTTGAATAAATATTAAAATACTAGCCGGGCGTTGGTGGCGCACACCTTTAATCACAGCACTCGGGAGGCAGAGGCAGGTGGCTCTCTGTGAGTTTGAGGCCAGCCTGGCCTACAGAGCTAGTTCCAGGACAGCCTCCAAAACAATACAGAGAAACCCAGTCTCGAAAAACCAAAAAAAAAAAAAAAAAAATTAAAATACTAATTTGTGGTAGCACAAAGGATCACAGAGCTCAGTTTTCTGGCATAGGATTGTACTCTTCAGGTTTCATTTCTTCTCCTTTAAACCCTCCCTTTGCCAAATTTGAGGAGTACGTGGGTGTGCCCCTGACCCGGAAAGAGAACCCTTTCCCTTTAACTTTTTGTTTTGTTTTTGTTTTCGAGACCGGGTTTTCCCTTGTAACCCTGGCTGTCCTTTAACTCACTCTGTTCCAGGCTAACCTTAAACTCACAGCTCCACCTTCCTCTGCTTCCTGAGTGCTTGAATTAAAGGCGTGCACCATTATCACCCGGTAGACCCTTTTACTTTAAAACCCTAGGCTGGCCCAGATTTCCCACAGACAGTAACTGCGTCTCCGGATTCCACCTGCCTTGTCTTCCGGTTCTGGTGGCGCGCAGTAGCGTTTAAATTTCGCGCGCTTAATAAGGATTGGCCACTTCCACGGGTGATTAACTTGTCGTTTGCGGCCACTCCGCCTTGCTTGCTTCCCCGGGTAAAAGGTTTTCAAATTGGACCAATCGCTGGGCGAGCTCTCTTCGCCTAGGCGCGTCACCGAAGGGTTAATTACAACCAACCAGAGGCCGGTGCTAAGGAAAAGAGCCAATCAGGCGGGGGCAGGGGCGTGTCCATGGAGCGTATAAGGGCGCGCTCGCCCGCGCGCGGCGACAGTTGACTGCGGCGGTTGGCGGTTATCCTTCGTCGGCGTTGCTCCCTGCCATTCTACCTCGTACACGATGTCCGGCCGCGGCAAAACCGGAGGCAAGGCCCGCGCCAAGGCCAAGTCGCGCTCCTCGCGCGCCGGCCTGCAGTTCCCGGTAGGCCGCGTGCACCGGCTGCTGCGGAAAGGCCACTACGCCGAGCGCGTGGGCGCCGGCGCCCCGGTGTACCTGGCGGCGGTGCTCGAGTACCTGACCGCTGAGATCCTGGAGCTGGCGGGCAACGCGGCGCGGGACAACAAGAAGACGCGCATCATCCCGCGCCACCTGCAGCTGGCCATCCGCAACGACGAGGAGCTCAACAAGCTTCTGGGCGGCGTGACGATCGCGCAGGGCGGCGTCCTGCCCAACATCCAGGCCGTGCTGCTGCCCAAGAAGACGAGCGCCACCGTGGGGCCCAAGGCGCCGGCGGGCGGCAAGAAGGCCACGCAGGCCTCTCAGGAGTACTGAGGGGAGCCCGCGCCGCGGCCGCCCAGCCCTCCCCACGCCCCCACAAAGGCCCTTTTAAGGGCCACCACCTCCCTCTCGGAAAGAGCTGAGCCGCTTAGGGCTGCGGGCCGGACTGCCGCCCCCATCCTCCCCTTTCTCCGCCACCGCGCGTCTCTGCCTCCCCTTCCCTGCACGGCCTCCGAGTCAGCCGCGGAGGACGCGGGCGCCGCGGCGCTCATCCCTCGCGGAGTCTTCGCCGCTCTACGTCTCGACGCGCTGCGCGGGGAGGTCGCGACACCTTCTAGAAGTCTCGGCCGTTTGCTGTGACGTACGACCGACGTGGGCCTGAAGGTGAGTTCATCCGCAGCTGCAACCTGGGCGTCCTTTCTTCAGCTTGGTGCTTAGCCCTCGCCTGGACCTTCCAGAAGTGACTTGACTGCCAGGCTTTGGTGAAGAGAGATGGATCGTGTTGCTTGGTCCCTTGCTGGCCTCACTAGTTTACCCCGTCTTCATTCATAGGCCCGTGTGTGGTGTGTCCGGGACAAAAGTCACTGATACGAGCCGGTTTCCTCCAGGATGCCTCCTGGAAGGGGTCTGGGAGAAGTTACAGGCCTGTGGACAGAGGAGCTGTGTTCTGCCGCAGGAGACTGGCAGCCGGGCCTAGCCATCTCCTCTTCTCCCCAGCGACTCAATTCACAACCCAAACACCTAGATACCAGCACAAGTCGGTGAATCCCTGTCTGGACTGAGCCTCTGTTGGTTTCTGAACTGGAATTTTGCAGCTAACCCAAGTTTAGAACCTTCGGTAGTGGGGAGTTTCAATGGGCTAATTTTATTAAATGATTGTTTGGTTTTTTTAAAAAGTATGGAGTGTCTTGATTAATTTCGAATTGCCGGAGGTCCGGGGCTGGGGTTATGCCCCGTGGTAGAGCCATGTACCCGGTATGTGTTGTGTTGGGAGTGGAAATGTAAGTTCCCTTCGGGCAGTGGGAAAATGGGCAAGGCTGTGTAATAACACAAGTAGGTTCTGTTGACTGAAGGCAGGCTGTAGGGATTGAGGCAGTTTTCTCTGCCCGGTGCTCCCTGGAATACTCTCAGAACACAAAGTATTTAGACAGAAGTCCCAGATTCAGAATTCAGGTTTAAAAGGGCTTCGGGTTTATTCATATTTTCCCCAACAACCACATTCAGAGCTGGTTTAATTTCGTGGCATTGGTTACATTCGAGATTGGCATAGACTTTATTTCCAGGGATGAAGCCCCAACTACTGAGGAGGAAAGGCGGTCGTCGAGGCCCCAAGGTGAGGCATGTCTCTGGAAGTCTCAACACCCAGTGGTTCAATCTCCTGGGCGAGTCACCCCTCCCCAAGTTAGGAGCATGGGCACTTGAAAGCCAGGTGTAGGCACTAGAAAGAGGAAGCCGGGTTCCTGTACCCTATAGACCAACTAGTGCACATCATTAAGCTGCCGTGCAACATCCAGGATATTCTTGGCTCCTTTGTTAAGCAACAAGCTGGCCAGGCTGATGCCCAGGTTTTCAGCAGCTAGCTGGGCTCCTCTTGGAATGTTCCGGGCGGTGATTCCAACCCGCTGGGGGTCATCCTCTGGACCATCTTCATGCTGCATGACAAGATTATAATTTGGTGAGAGGGAAGATGATAAGTACTTCTGTTTATTCCTCCCTCACATCCCAGTCAGTACCTGCACAGGGATCTGGATGGTAGCCTGCATGGTCTCTTGCATGCCATCTGAGCCGTCTAGACTCCACACTCCTCCAGTCAGGTACAGCTAGGAGACAAAGTGGGTTGTAGAGAAAGTAGCTTACCTGTGTGGGCACGCAGAACTGCCACAGTCCTTCCCGCTCCCTCATCCATGCTCACTGCTTACCTGCCCGTCGCTCATCACTGTATGCACTGCTACCGGCACGCTGCAGCCTCCTTCCTGCAACGACAGGCCTTGAGCTCTGAGGGCATTCCACACCACTTTTAACCACAAACTTGTAAGGGTATTAACTGAAGAGGCTGCTAGGACCAAACCAAACTCTCCAGCTTTTGAGTTACCACTACCTCTCCCTGCTGCCCTTCCTGATCCCAGGTCCTCCTCACACCACCATAGGAGAAGCCCAAGTCTTACCAGGTGCCTCAGAAAGGCCCGTTCAGCAATGCAGCGAAGCACAGTCTCTGGATCATGCAACACACTCACTAGATCCAAGATATCCTGGTCCTTGGCTCGGACTTCTACCGCTAGGGCCCCCTAAAGGAAAAACAGGCCTGGTCTTTCTCCAGTCCTGGCTGAACATGGGAACCACTCCTACTTGCTTCCCAGATTCTTCTGCTTGCCAAAGCCTGCCCCCTCCCTGAATATCTGATGTGAAGTAGATGCCAAAGCATAATGGCACCGAACCCAGGCTCTTGAAGGGGCACATGAACAAAGCCCTCTCCAGGCAAACTTACCTGACCCACAGCATACATACATTCCTCTGGGTGCAAGATCTGTGGAGGCAGACAAAACAGAATGGTGGGCTGTCCAAAGGCAGTGAGCTAGGGTTTGCCAATTGGGAAGCTGGGGTGATATACTCTCCCTAGCCTGGGCTTATTTCTGGCTTGCAGTGTTATTGGCAGAATGGTCACAAAGATAGCAGGAGAGAGAGGCAGATTAAAATGGAAATGGAATGGGAAGCCCCTACCTGCCCCACCCGGTTCTGCCAACCCATGCGCTGTAAGCCAGCCACAGCCAGGATAATGGCACTGAACTCCTGCTGCTCATCTAGTTTCCGCAGCCGGGTGTTGAGGTTTCCCCGCTGTAAAGAGATGCTAAGGAGAATGATGACCCACACAGTACACCCTTTTCCCCACAGTCTCTTTCCCCTTTCTAGATGACCTTTTTTTGTTGTTGTTTTTGGTTGTTTTGTTTCTCGAGACAGGGTTTCTCTGTATTGTTTTGGAGGCTGTCCTGGAACTCACTCTGTAGACCAGGCTGGCCTTGAACCCACAGATCCGCCTGCCTCTGCCTCCCGAGTGCTGGGATTAAAGGAATGTGCCACCACACCTGACTTTTTAAAGACATTTGAAGAGGATCTTACAGTGTAGCCTGGCTGTACTGGAACTCACTATGGAGACCAGGCTGACCTTGAACTCACAGAGATCTACCTGCTCTGCCTCCAGAGTGCTGAGATTAAAGGCATACGCCACCACACCTGACTGGAACATACTATTTCTATTTATTTATTTTAGTTTCATATGTTTTGCATGCATGTGTGTCTGCAGAGGCCAGAAGAGGGCATCAGATCCCCTAGAGCTGAAGTTAGAAACAGTTCTGAGCCACCAAGGGGTTGGGAGTTGAACCAGGGTCCTCTGGAAAAGCAGCCAGTGCTTTTTTTTTTTTTTTTTTGGTTTTTCAAGACAGGGCTTCTCTGTATTGTTTTGGAGCCTGTCCTAGAACTTGCTCGGTAGACCAGGCTGGCCTCAAACTCACAGAGATCCACCTGCCTCTGCCTCCCCAGTGCTGGGATTAAAGGTGTGCACTACCACTGCCCGGCACAGCCGGTGCTTTTAACCACTGAGCCATCTTTCCAGCCCCAGAACATCCTGTTTTTAAAATTAGTTTTATGAAACACACAACATATTTAATGTAAAAATCAAAACCATATAGTAGCAAATAAAGTAAAAATGGGAGCGCCTTCCATCCCAGCCACTCAGAAGTAATTACTAATCAGTACCACTTATATTGTCAATGCCTGTCTGCCTCACTAACATGAAGACTCTATATAAGAGGAACAATTTTATTTTTACAATTATCCTCCTTGCTAGGCACCTGCCAGAGTTGAAGAAAACACTAAAGACGGATGGATGGGTGGATGGGTGGATGGATGGATGGATGGGTGGATGGATAACCCGCTGACCCATAGGCTACTTCCTTTGGAGGGTCCTTCTATACTCAAGACTCTCAAGAGTCCTCTAGACCTTCTCTTCCTCTTTGGCTACTGCCCTCCCCTCTTGTGAAAGGATACAATACTCCTGAATTCCAGATGTGGGAACTTTCTCTGTAGCTGGGCCACTCTCCTCAGGGAGCTGGTTCCCACTGCGCTGCTCAGAGAGAGTTTACAATTAAATTTAACATGGGCTGCCCTGTTCTCCACTGTCCATCCCTCTGTCTTCTGTACACCGGGTCCACTCACCTTTTCTCTGGCAAGGTTTCTAGGGTCTTTCCAATAAATTTTGGGTGAAAGACAACAGCATCACAAGGGTTTTCCCGTCTGGAGAGCAAATAATGAAATAAAATTATTATTATTTGGAGACAGTATTTAACTCTAGTCCTAAAATTTACTATGTACCCCAGGCTATTCTTTAATTCACAATAAGCCTCTTGTCTGAGCCTCCTTAATGCTGAGATTATAGGTATGAGCCAGCAGGTCTGACATTTGCTGTTTTGTTTTGTTTTACAAGACAGGGTTTCTCTGTGTAACAGCCCTAGCTTTCCTAGAACTCACTTTGTAGACCAGGCTGGCCTCAAACTCATAGAGATCTACCTGCCTCTGCCTCTCGAGTGCTGGGAGCTGGGATTAAAGGCATGTGCCACCAATTCCTGGCAGTGTTTTGCTTTCTTGATTGTTTAGATTTTATTTATGGGGTGGGAGAGTATGCACGCCGTGTGTGTGTGTGTGTGTGTGTGTGTGTGTGTGTGTGTGTGTTTGTGTGTGTGTGTGATGACAGCTTGTGAGATTCAACTCTCCCCTTCCACCATGTGGACCCCAGGTATTGAACTCAGGTCATCAGGCTTGGAAGCAAATGCCTTTACCAGCTAAGCCATTGTAAGCTAGTGGTTTTTGCACCTCACATCTTGAGACACAATCTCACCCTAGTTCTCAGGCTGGTTAAAATCACTCTGTAACCCAGGCAGGCTGTGAACCTCTGTCTTAGCCCTCCCTAGTAGCTGGGATTATAGGCCTGTGCCACTGAGTCCAACTCCATGCACACTAACTAGCCAACCAATCTGCTTCCCCAGCGTTTTCGGCCATGCTTATTGACTGACAAGCTTCCCAGCAGAGGGCTAAGTGGCCAAGTCCCAAAGGGAAAAATGTCAGACTCTCATGGTGGGATTAACTCCCGCCCAGCCCCCCTCACATTCTTAACTCTTACTTGCAGATGGCTCCAATGGTAAAGCCAGGAGGTAGTATAGTAGGCACATCCTTCAGGGAGTGCACAACCAGGTCCACTCTAGAGACGGGAGGGGAGGACATGGAGAAAGGCTTTGAGTAGCTGACCTTACACTTCTCCACTACAGTGTTCAGGAAGAGACGGTCCTACAACCGAAGGACCCTGAAGCCTGCTTTCCTCTCAACTACTCTACCCCGCTTCCCAGCCAGCCTTATATTCTAGGCAGTTAGGGGGCTCCAAAACAAGACACTCAGCGTTGGGAAGCCTATGTGCTCCTTATCCTAACCCAGCAGTCCTGCTAATACCGGGAACCACGTTGGGGTTCTAGAAAGAGTGCCACGCTTCCAATGTCCACTTACTCATTTTTTTCCAGGGCGTATTCTAGCTCCTTGGTAAACAGGCTTTTCTCTCCAATCTGCCAGAGAAGAAAGAGCCTCAGAGTGACCCCCTTATGAGAGTAAGTGGGGAGAGGGACTGGAAGAGCAGGGATGGGGCTGTCATTACCTTAGAGAGTGCAGTATCAAGAATCTTGTCCCCTGTGGTAGACATAGCAACTGAGGAGAGAGTCAGTCAGGTACCCATTAATCACCTCTACTGAGTTCCCAGTGGCTCAGCACTGTACTAACATTCACAGTGCGGTCAGAGGCACAAAGGCCCCAGCTCCTACCCTGGAGGAATACACACACTAACAGAAAAAGCAGACACGCT